TCGACCGGCCGGCAAGTGACATGGGGTCAACTGTCTCTCGTTTCACACTTAGAATTGCTAGTTGATTGTGTTGCGAGGACGTCAACCTGTTCGCTCTCCCGACAAGAACATTTCGCGCAGAGGCACACAGCTCAGATCGCAGGAGTGTACCCCCCACATGCGCTACAGTGTATTCCTGAACACTCAGCTTACTACTAGGAGCAAGGACGCTACTAGGAGCAAAGGGCATCGCCATTAGGAGCAGGGACGCTACTAGGGGCTCCTGGCCTTACTACTAGGAGCAAGGACGCTACTAGGGGCTCCTGGCATCGCTCCTAGGAGCATTCTTACTACTAGTAACACTCAGCTTACTTGCAGATTTGCAAAAAAATAGGGGTCGATTGAGTGGGCCCAAGCATCACGTGAGCATTTGGGGAATGGCTCACAACGCCCATCCTTTGCCAATGGGGAGATAAAAGCTTCGAGGAGCAACAGTGCCGGCTGTTCGAACTGGCCATCAGCTCTGCTTGTGATGACCACCGCTGCCAAACACAACAGCTTCGCCATGCTAAGCAAGTACGCAGAACCTACCTTCAGGCAGTGCTTCAGCTAAAAGCTGCAGGTTCTCTCCAATGAGGCCAACTGGCAACGTGTGGCGCAGAACCAACATTGAGTGGAGCAAGGACGCTACTAGGGGCTCCTGGCCGTACTACTAGTAGCAAGAAGCTAATAGAAACAAGATTGAAGCTCTTGCACTCAAGATTCCCTTTTCTCGACAATGCAAGGCCGCTTGCTCCTCCCTTGGAGCTGCCGCAAGAAGGACATTATCAAGTGTCTAGCAGCGATCTCACCCCTTGGCAGTCTTTGTGCCACCAGCCGCCTCACATCAGTCGAACTGCGCGTCTGCTGGACACTGGCTTAAGAATTTATCTTATTCTGTTCCAAATGTCCCCCCAAAACAGTCCAAGAAGCAGTGTCCCAGCAATGTTTGAAATGCAAGAAGGAAGTACAGGCCTTTGTCTTGGCAGACTTTGTGCCTGTGGCGGCAACCTTCCAGGCACAGGGTGGAAATTCTGTGATCAAGTTGCTGTTACGTCCCAAGTGTGGAATAATTACATTGACATCCTTCCCTAGCATTTCGACAAGAGCAACATGGGTCATCGGACCGAGTCATCCGACAAAATCTCGTTTGTTCCCTCGTGGCCCAGTCGGCCGATCCCCGCCTTTTTGGCAGACTTTGTGCCAGTGGTTGCAGCTTCAGCCTGGTCAAACATCCTCTTGCAATTTTTGTGAACCAAACATAAGAGGATACAAATGAAGAAGCCCGTCTAGGTGTCAGCCACTATTGAGACATAAGGATTGGCCTGCGTTATGCTATTTTTCAAGCAAGCCCAAGGACATCAAGCCTCTTCAGCCATTTCCTGCTGCCTGTCAAACAAGGCTAGCTTGAGCTAAGCTGTGTTCAAAACTGTCCATCTTTGCTGGAATGTGTCGTCTGTTGTGGAAGGGTCTTTCGCAAAGCAGCTACAATCAGTACGCTAGATTGCACAAGTCAAAGCAGGGCACCTCAAAAAAGGAAATCTGTGACAACCCAGGTCAAAAGAACAAGAGGCAACTCAGCTCAGATTCGAACACGAGGTGCGAAAACTGGTGCAGCCTGCCAGGAAATCTGAACATTTTGTTTGCCTTTGTTCGTCCCAAAAAAAAGAAAACAAGATCAAGTCACCCCTTCTTCAGCACTAAGTCACTAAGCACCTCAGAAACTTGTGGATCTCTGGCGCTTGCACACCCAGTCGCAAAAAGCTCCCATGACCTGGGCCACTATTTGGATCTATTTGGTGCCTTGACATGGGACATTGTTGACACCATACAACGAGCCTAGAACACCAAAATGAGTCTCTTGAACCACTTGAATTGCGCGCGAGCTTTCTAATTCACATGTAGCTTGCAGGATCTTCCATCCAACAACTAAAGAGCACAGTTCATCAGATGTTCTATTATGCCGCTGGTGTTCCCTTCGACTTGAACAATTCCTGTTGCTCAGCACCTGGCCCTCATCCGTCAGCTTGCCACGGAAATCCATCAGCGCGTGTAAGGCGATGGCCTCGAGAGGAAACTTGAAGATCGATGAAAAAGCCTTGGTTGATGTTGTTTAGAGTGATTTCCGCCAAAACTGCTGGAGCATACTCTCTGTGTTTTGCTGGGTGGAGTCCCACAACTGCCATGCTCACGAATTTTGATACTCTTGCCTCAACTTGGATGCACTAGGCCCTAGGCACTAGGCAAGGGCTGTCCAATTTGATATACAGTAGTTATACATTGCAAAGGCTTCGCACGCTGTAAAAGCCCATCCATGTCATGAGGTAGCTGATAGTTTCTACCAACTCAACAGAAGACAGAATAAGGATGAATCAGGAATGTTGACAGTGACTTACATGCAGACACTCAGACACACAAACACACACTCAGGAAATGCGTACGGTACTGATTTGCGGTTTGCCACACGCCTTCACAAGCATGATGTGCACACATAGCAGGCCTCATATCTTGAGCGCTCAGGAGAGAAGCGGTAGACCGCACTACCAGAGCTGCCTGGGTTCCCCATGACCTCAGTCCGCTGAAACCACTGGCTCACAAAGCTACGAAAGTGTTGCAACCTTAGAAAGTCGTGCTGTGTGCACAAGACTGCACTCCATTAGCAGCGGTGAGTCGAAGGATGGTGCAGCAAACTGCCTTTGTAAAAGCTAAGCCACTCACCTGTGAAAGCATGAGCCCGATACCTGCCCTCACGTCTGAAAGAGATGCCACGTGCCCTGCCACAAAAGATTGGTTTCATGAATCAATCCATGTTCTACCACGCACAGTGAACACAATGAACGACGAACACTAAGTTCATAAACACCCCAAACGTGCCAATCTGCAACAAGGCCCAAGATGCTCACAACCCAGTCTGCACAACGCTGCACCTCCAGAATGAGCATGTTATATGTTGTGAAAAGTAAAGCGCGCCGTTTTGGACACCTCGGTTTGGGCCTGAAGTTCATGGCGTATCCTTGATGCATACCAGAGTGCTACATGTCTGTTGAACTTGATGCTTCATCTAACACCGTCCTCATAGCCTCTGGTATGCAGTGTGTGCATGGCTTGATGGTTCGAACGCTGACACTATTGGTCAGATGCCCACATCCTTCGTTGTGGTAACATGTGCCTGTTCTTGCCATATGCCAGTATTGTCTCTCTAAAGTGAAACGGGTGTTCTGCATCAGCTGATTCATCTGGTGCTTTGCTTCGGCTTCGGTCTCTTTTGACCTCTTCTTCCATAGCTCGGCCACTTCCCAAGCTTTGGCGATGTCTTCTGTCATTCTTTCCAACTCCATAGCTTTCTCATCATCTGTTCCGGCCAACCTAATGACCTTTCTTTTGGCTTCATCTCTTTCTTCCTTGACATTCTCGAGCTCGAAGCGCAGCTCTGAACACATGTCATACATGCGCACAACTTCTCGCGCTTGCAGATCTCGATCTCTTCGGGCATCTGTCAGCTTTTCCTCCTGTTCAGCAATGGCCACCTCCAAGCGAACAATCTGCCATTGCATATTCATCTTCTCTTCGTCTGCGCTTGTCTCATTTCTCGCAGGCAGTCTTTCGACCACATTCTCATCGTCTCCATCCTCATTCTCCTCGACGGACTGTCCGTGGCTTCGTCTTCCATGCCACCATGTCATCATAGCCCCAATGGCCATTCGCGCCAGGCTCAAGGCCCCAATGCTTGCCAAACAGATCATGGTGATCAATGGCCGAATCCACCAAGCCTCATCGCTTCCATCTTCGTTTTCTTCTGGGTGCTCAGCTTCTGCTCCTTGGCCTCCTTGCAGCAATGCCAAAGCAATCACTAGGGCCACTTTTGCATTTGCACCCATCATCTTCGCCATCTTCCCGGTGTTCTTCTTGAGCTGTTCTTTGGCCTTTATCTCCTCATATTGTTGCCTTCCAATCTTTTCATCATCCATGTCAACCATTTTGATCAGGTACTTCAACCCGCTCATTCTTGCCCTGCTCAAGATCTTGGTTCCAATGTCGCTGGTGTTGACAGCTGTGGGAATGCCTGTGATCTTCAACTCCTTTGCGACCACCTTCTGTTGAAGCCACAACAAACCAGCTGCAATGTGGCGTGTCCGCCCCACTCCAACTCGTCCCGCCAGAGCCCGGGCTGCTGATGAGTCGCTCCGGCAAATCATGTCCAGGTCTTCGTTGGTCAGGAATTTCCAGCAGTGCTTTAGAAAGAGTCCTTCACTGCATCCACCGACCATGGCCACGTACTCGCTTTCTCCTGACGAAAGTGCGATGGCCCTTTGACTTCTCACATAGCTTTCCAGCAGGCATCCGTCCAGGTAAATCTGGACTGAGCTGACACTCTTTCTTGTGTCCCGCTGACCTGCATAGTCGGCGTCACACACCACCTCCAGCATGCTTTTCTTCTCTTCATTGAAGTCCCACTCATAGATGTTGTCATCATCATTCAGCATGCTTCTTCCTTTGGATCCGTGCTCAAACAGGATTCCTTCATTCATTGTTCCCAGGAGGTATGAACTCACATGCTGCATGGCTTGCCAGCTCTTCTTCGTTGGCTGTTGCATGAAACCAGCTAAGCCCTGTGCAACATATTGGACATCAGGGCGATCAGGGGAGATGTAGAGCAACTTCCCCACGCAACTGCGATACTTGGTGACGTCTTCAGATCTCATAGGTTCATCATCTTTGCTCAATCGATTGAAAGTTCCATCACCAGGGGTCGTCCGATGCTTCCGATGCTCCACATTTGTGAGCTTGGCCAGTTCCTTGATGTGTTGTTTGTCTGGCCTGATCGTGATCCCTTTCTCAATCAACTCCATCTCTCGCTTGAGATAACTGAAGCTCCCCATGTAGAGTGGGCCTCTCTTCTCAGTCTTCCAGCCTTTGTTTTCCATGTGGCTGATGAATTTCTCCACCTCCGGCTCATCACCAACCAAAAGCAGATCATCGACGTGGATTGTGAGATATAACTTCCCACTTGTGTCACTGCCTTCGGGTGCTTCTGGCTTCTTCATCATCGTGGGTTGCATTGTGTCTTGCACGAGTCCATATTCAGTTGCAACCTTGCAGAAGCCCTTGAACCATTGAGCGGCAGCATTTCGTTGTCCAGGCAAGTTTCGCTTCAGCCGGTAGGTCCCACTTGCAGTCACCACCAACGCCTTCTCATCTTCTGGCTGGTCCATCAACAGAAATGCATCCTTCACATCCAACGTGTAGAGTGCAAGCCCACTCTTCATCTGTAGTCGAAGGAGCATTCTCACAATCACCGGCGCGGATGTCGGTGCGAAGGCGTCTTCAGTAAACACTGACCACTTGAACTGCCTTCCAACTAATCTTGCTCTCCTGAACCAGCCTCCCATTTCATCTCTGTGCTTCCAGGTGATGACCATCTTTGATGTCAACACATAGGACCCTTCTTCTGGCTCCTCATTCTCCTTCAACTTCTCGAGGACACCCATCTTCTCCAGCCTCTCTTCTTCATGGCGGCAGGCTTCTGCGTCCAGCTTTGCCAACTCCTCTTCCTCGATCTCAGGTGGCTTTCCAATTCCTTTCCCATCTCCTTCATCCTCACTGACATTGTTGAGCTCTTCCTGCAAAATGGCTTCTCCGGTCATCTCATCTCCACCTGGGAAATCTTCTTGAATGCTGTTCACTCTTCTCTTTGGGCTCATCCTCCTCTTTTCGTCATCCTCGTCGTCCCACGGCAAGGCATACTCTCTCTTTGTGCCTAGTGGTGGAGTGACTGGTGCCAGGTTGCCCACGATCTCTTCTAATCTCTGCTTCTTTGGGCTTGCTTCAGACTCCACTGCTTCTGGCATGAAGTTCCTGGCAGGTTCACCTCGCATCGCCTCAGGGATGGGCAGCCGTGCCATCTTTCGCTTTGATGCTTCTCCTTCTTTTGGATCTGAGGATGAACTCTTGGCCTCTCTTGGTGGTTCTGGTGCCACTGGAGTCTTGGGCACTGGACGGGCCGGCGTGGCTGGCATAGGCATGACTACTGGTGTTCGTATTGCCGGTGTCTTGCTTGCTGGTGTTCTGGCAGGTGTCTTTGGATAGCCCTCTGGAGCTGGACCTGGTGTGATAGGACCATGTCCATACATTCTCATGGCCACTTCCTCTCCGACCATTTTTGCCTCCTTCTCTACTTGCTCTTCACCTGTGGCTTCTTCAGCTGCCTCGGCTAGGCGTTGTCGTGCTGCAAACTTGGTCTTCATGAGGATGCCTTGAGCCGAGTATTGCCATGGAAGTCCACGGCAGTGGATCAGCATCTGCCCATCAAACTGCTCGGGAAGCCTCCTGATAGAACGGGCCTCCACCGCTCCAGATCTTGTCAAACAGATGTGGCTGTCGTTCCACGAACTTTTGCCAACCCAGACACCTCGTCGATAGACCGGCTCACCTTTGTGCTTGAAGGAGGTGACATCTTTGAAAAGCACTGTCTCACCCCATAGCGCCACCCTGCCAACATATTGACGGTCCGTCAGCATCTCAAAGGATGTAGCTCCATTGATCACCCTGTATCGGAGCATCAACCAAGCTGCATGTCTGAAACTCCAGGGATAGCAATGCATATCTCCTGTGATTTTCACACCACTCTTTTCCTCTGCGTAGTGCCTCAAGGTATTGGCGAGCTTGCGGACGGACTGGACTGTTCTCTCGGCCTGACCGTTGGACGCATGCTGGTCTCTTGAGGTTGTCCTGACTTCTGTGGTGAGGCCAAGGGAGGCACGGGCGTGTTGAGTTGCCCTGAGCACTTGTCGAGTGACTCTCTCTCCATCCGACTGGAAAATGATTGGCTGGGTGTTGCAGACCTGCATACTAAATCTTGTCAGCTCTTCTGTCACCTGCTTCAGCGATGCACTCCCTTTTGCTTGGACAGGAATGCACAGTGTGGCTTTTGACTCTGACTCCGCCACGTACAAGGCGGTGCCCCATTGCTTCTCCTCTGGTACGTCGGCCGTATAGGTGAACCCATAGTCAAAGCTGATCACCGGCCTACCTCTATCCTTCCTGTCGCTTCGTTCTTCCTTCATTCGTGGGTCCTCTTTTGATCTCGTTGCAACACACTGTTGACACCATGGCTGAAACGGGAGATGTGTCAATTGGTGCAGCTCTTGTTCATGCCGTGAAGGCAACTTTGGTGTTTTCAGAGGAATGGCTTCTCTCCTGCTTTCGGCAAACAGTCTTTGTGCAACCTCATATGCCATCTTCTCTTCCTGCTGATGCTTGAATCGTTGCAACCTCCTCAGGACTTTCGTCTTGGACCCTGATGTAGCCAATCCAAGCTGCTTGCATATTTCTTGGAGGTCTTTGAGCTTTGTCTCTTTGTCGAACCATGTTTCATCAATCTGCACCCTTAGCTCGTCTGGATCCACGAACTCCACGTCCTCCAGGGTCTCTGCTCTTCCTCCACTTCCTGCTGCAAGCATAGGGAACTCTCCTCCTTCTTCATCCCTTTCGTCATCGGGCCATGATGATGGTTCTCCACTCAGTAGTGGGTACTGGCTCACTGGGACTTCCGAGTTCAGCACGAAGTAGTCCAGAATCAGTCCTGGGGCAACAAATGTCAGGGTTGACCTTGGTCCTGCCGGCAGGGCTCGAAAGGGCAATGGTGTGTCCTTGTATGCAGCTAGACTTTCGATCTGCTCCCAAGCACCTGAATTGTCTTTCTTCTTCACGAGAGTCATACGTCCACACCATTCAGGGCCGAAAGACATGCTTGGGTCAAGGAAATGAGTTGCCTGCGGACTTGAATGCACCACTATTCCATTCGGCAAGGCATGCCATCCCGGCACCTTCTCCAACAGGCCTAGTTCTCTTGAAAT